ACGTGGACGTTATCGACTTCGATCGGCACGTCATCTTTGAACCATGTCACCTTAGGTGCGGGTGATCCTGTTACGGTGACGGACAGATTTATCGTCTCAGTTTCTTTCACTTGTACATCCCTCAGCATTTCCAAAAACTGCGGAGCGACATTCTCTTTTGTAACATGTACCGTAGCTTCAGTACGAGCTTCGCCGGCCTCATTACGTGCTATGCATGAATATGTACCCTCATCTGCCGGTGTGGCATCCTTAACGGTAAGAATGAAGTGGCCGATATCCTGCTCTGAAACGAATACATGAACATCATCAAAATTAACAGCAATACCGTCCTTAAACCATTGCACTTTTGGCTGAGGTTTCCCAATTACCGCTGCCGAAAGCGATATTGTTTCAGACTCCTTGATTATGACTTGTTTCAGAGTTTCGATGAATCTGGGCTGTTCAAGGCTTTTGCTGACTGTGACATTTGCTGCACATTCTTCAGCTCCAGCCGTATTAATTGCTTCACAGCTATACCTTCCTGCATCATCAGGTCCTACAGCCGAAATCGTTAATGTGAAAATTCCCTCTCCTTCGCTTTTCAAAATGATGTGAGTGTTGTCGATTATCAGTGGGCGACCATCTTTTTTCCAGGATACTACAGGAGGTGGTTGACCTTTCACAGCTACATTTAGGACCACAGTGTCGTTCATATTCACTTCTGTCGAAATGAGTTTCTTAATGAAAGACGGTCTTTCTAATATAGGCATAACTTCCACGTTTGCTGAGCTTTCTGCAATTCCCGCATCGTTCGTAGCTTTCGCCGTGTATCTTCCAGTATGACTTATATGAGTCTCCTTTATTATGAGACAATACGACCTCGTGTCAACATTACTTATGATTTCATAAACGTCGTCTTGGCTGATTGATTGGTTATCTTTATACCATAACACAACGGGTTGTGTACCGGACACCTTCACTTCCATTCGGAGCTCCTCTTTCTCGCTAACTGTTGTGTTCTTCAGTTCTTGTTCGATCGTTGGGATTACCATCTTCATACTTACTGAGCTTTCAGAAATCGCTGTTCCGACGGTGTTCTTCGCAATTGCACGATATTTGCCAAAATCTTCTCGCTGGCTTTCACGGATCAGCATTCTCCAATGTGTATTTGTCACATCATGCTCGACTGATATTCTATCCGATGATATCACGCGGATATCCTCATGGAAGAATTCCACATTCGGTTTCGGTATGCCGTTCACCGAACAGAATAGAATCAATTGATCGCCGATCGATATCGATTGGTCCGTAAGCGACTTTGTGAATTTGGGTGCGAGTGCTGTAATGCAGTTAGTTGAAGGACATAACACACCATACGCGAAGTGCAAATACAAACAACGATGAAACTTAATATAGTAGTTAATTGTGATCAATGATTAATTGTGCAAGAGCGAATTAATGAAGGCAAGGAGCAAAATAATTTTCGTGAAGTGCGGTGCATTTGATTTTGACGAAAATATAGTAATAACCCATAGTATTTCTCAACAAATTCACCTTCAACGTTGAGTGTCGCTTCCGTTCGACTTGATCCTGCACTATTCTCTGCTACACATGTATATTTACCTTGATGTCTCATCTAAAATATGCTTTACTCTATCCCATTATTATCAACCAAAGAAATAAAGGTTTCTTCAACCTCTGTAGAGCTGATAACAAGTCGCTGGATACCGTCTTCACTCTCAATGTAAACCTCCTTTGCGTGTTCTTCGAGGACCTTCTGAAAGGAGTGTAACGTTTTTTTTTGCGGTATTCAACACTGATGAACAAACAATGTCTTGATGAAGGATAAAAGATAAGGCTTCAATCCCTTTGAAATGCTCCATACATTCAACTCCAATCGTAGCATCGCAGAGGTCATCATACACCTTTTTCGCCGGTATCATCGCTTATACGAGCCCACCTATGTATTATTTCAACGTTTTTATCTTCGCAGACAAATCTGGTACAAATCTTCAGACTCCAAAGGCAAGGAGGTTTTGCATTCTCGCAGCACAGAATTGACTACAACCATTTTGTACTGCACCACGCACATATAACCACTACGCTATACCCCCCAACATATTTCCACGTTTAGACAAATTCAAACAATTTTACTCACGTTTTCATGATACCAAAGCACGTTTGGCTGTGGCTCTCCGACAACTTTACACTCGAAATTGACTCTGTCATGAATTTTCGTAGTCTTATCTTGTAATTTTACAATGAATTCAGGTGGACACTCCAACGTTTTCTCTATTGCCTCTGAAATACTGGTTTATGCCGTATTAGAAAATAATCACAGGCGTTTTGGGCAAGGCGACTGTCGATTACTGATCATCATCTCAACCTACCGACTACGGTCAAGGTCGCCTCACACTGTACCCGACCGGCGTTGTTCTCTACGATCACCGTGTATATGCCAGCATCTTCTGGGCGAACGTCATCTTAAACTTTCGACATTTTTTCTCTTGGAAAAAATTTATAGCCTTCGTGGCCATCCTTGTACTTAGCTATGTCCATAGAGTTTTACAAAAAGCTCTTTTTGTTCAAAGAATGTTTTTGTTTCTTTTTTGAATACTCTCTTACCAGCGATGAGCATCAGTGGTAAAATTTAGCATGTCTTTATACTTTTTGGCTCGATGCTTTTCATTCTGACAATATAAAAAAAAAGTGGATATGCTAAAATTAAAATTCATAATTTACCGATGATCAACTCCTGAGTTGTGTACCCTTCAACTGTTCGACTCTGGACACGAATACGCGCAATCAGTTCGATTTCTTTACCATCTTTGAGCCTAAACAGTGTGACATTTCCATATTGTAACAACTACCATATACTTCTAACGCTTCCTATAGCATCCATTCCCACCAGTATTATCATTAAAAGTTGTAAATAAACAACTGTACAAGGTGTAGCGGCACAACGCATACTCGACTTCGCCTTAACATGTGTGGCGACAGCTTGAGACAAAGCATAATTTATTTGTAGCTGCGCCTGTGTGTATTCGAAAACTCGTCCGAAAAAAGGTTTTAAAAAAAGGTTGAACCATTAACTATACCGATTAACTACTAACCTATCACATGTGGCACAACATGTGTTGAGTAAATTATCGATTAAATATATAACCTGTGGCAAAGAAACTCTTGTGGTAAAATAAAGTGTTTGAATGGAAACCAACGCATTGCCGTCAATGCATACAATCAATTGCTTGGTAAGGTTCATGTTATTTTGGTATCGTTCGGTATGACAATCAAGAAATTACCATTTGCAGCATACGCCTTTCGTGTCGGGAACGACACATTCGAAAATTGCTTCGTGACCTCGTTTCGCTCGTGAATCCTTGATTTTCGTAATGAATTTTGGTGCCATCACTGGTGTTGGCGTTCGTTGAATCTCTTCGCGAAGTGATTCGTCCTCAGTCAACGTCATATCGTCCCCAATCACCTATGAGGACATGTTTAGGACTGTTTCGGCATCTATTTTTTTTTAATATGTGAGCCATATGCTGTTTCCATTTGAGCCGTTGGAATGGTTACCGCATCAAACACTGGAACGGCGAGATTCCGTTTTCCAATGTTCCCATACTTACTATAATCACAAAAATTGTGCAGTAATTGGAAACCTACCTCTTCGGCTTGTGCTTCTGATTCGCTTTCACTGAACATGTCACTAGTATAGGTGACCATATTGGCTGTGCATGACACTTCACCGGCATCGTTCTCTGCCTAAACCTTTGCTTTGGAAGGAGGTGTTATTTGTTGTTGGAGCAAAAAAAGAAGTAAAACGAGAGTTCGCATACACTCACCTTACAGATAATTTCACCGACATGTTTTTCCGGATTAAAATTGTGGATAGTCAGAATGGAGTTCTTATCGTCAGTAACGATAGATATTTCACTTGAATTCTGGACTTCTTTGTTGTTGATATACCAAGTGAGCGTTGGTTTTGGGTCACCAGTGAACACCACCTTAAAATTGTCTAGAATGTCTACATATCTTAATGCTACCAATTATGATATGATAAGAAGAGTATCCCAAAAAATATCCAACAGATTTTCCCTATAGAACTTACTTTATGCACGACTTTCGAGCCTTGTCGGGCCCTAACGTTGCTGAGCCATTCAAGGAAGTCTGGTGGTTCTCCTCTTGGTAGCACTAGTAGCATGGCTTCACTCGAGGCCCTACCGTATTCGTTGACAGCCTCGCAAACAACCTACAACAGTTGCATTGCCACAAGTTAATACTACAAGTACTATTACTATCATTATAATTGTAATCATAATTAATGCTACAATATACAGCGAGCTAAAATCTCCAGAAAAGTGACAAAAACAAACATTAAGGTGAAATAGACTTTGAAACGTTGTATAGTTGTCCGAAAACATTTCAAATTCTATTCTCTTAACTACAATGGTGCTGAGATGTTTAAAAAGTTTGACCCCAGGCGAGATCGAACCGCGATTACTCCTTCTGCTCTCTTACCTTTCCACTGTAATCACATGTGATATCCTTAATGGTGACGGTGTACGTGCCTTTTTCAGAATGGATCTTAATATTTTGCGACTCCTCCAACTTTTTACCATTCACATACCTAAAATTTAGTAATTGACTAACAAACGCCACGATAATGAAAGCATAAATATCTTAAAATCACTAGAAACATGCGAAGCCTTCAAATAAGCAAGTAGATGAATGAATGATACAGAAACGATTTCAACTTAAAAATTGATAAGAGGAAACTAATATTTCGGTGTCTAACTACTTCCTTCATCATTACTATTATTTCGTTTCATTTCTTGAATAAGAGAAACCTTCGGAATAAAATCCGACTAGAAAATGTTTTGGAGGAAAAACAAACCAGGACACGACAGGTGTCGGTTCTCCAAGTAACACCGCCTTAAGTTTAAGTGTGTCTCCTTCACGGCATGTGGCGTCACACAATGAGGTTTCGAACTCAACCGGGATCGGTGCAACCACCTCCAACGGACCTTCGGTTGATACCTCGCCCATCTTAACACATACCAATACAAAATATTCAACCTTGATTCCCGTTTTTATTATCTACAGACCTTCAATTACTTTTACTAGTTGTCTTTTTTTATATCTGACTTTTCACATAAAATACCACTAGCACTGTTTCTTTTCTAAGTTATTACGCCAACAAATACTAGACCGAAACAGTAACTGAAGCTTATTAGTCAAGTTTCATATATAATTAACGATACACAATTTATGGGACAATGAATAAACACACTTTATTGTATGCAACACATCTGATCTTTCCTGTCATATCGGCTGTAGTTCCATGAATAGTGAGTGAATAGACTCCATCCACATTCTTGATCTCCGTGTCTTCGGTCTCACAAACCAACTAAAGTGATTCAAATCCGAGTTGCGCTTAGAGGAAGTTCTCTAGTGTTGAGCGGTTTATGAAATCCAAGTACAAATATCACAAAACGCGATGAAGGAAAATAACAGTGGAGCTCATTTTGCCCTTATTTTCAAAAACAAAACAAATCTGACCGTAGCAGTAACTCTATCTAAATATCATATCAGACAGAAAGGTTTCAACGAATTCTATATCTTGGGGAAAAAACCAAGCACACCTTTAAGGGGTTACAAAGCTCTCACCTGATTATTGATGTACCACTTGACAAACGGAGTTGGATCACCAGTAATCAGCAGTCTCGTATGAAGCGAATCACCCTCTGTGAGACGAATCGGAGCGATATTGCTTTGGAAAGCAGGCTTCGCCATCGGACGCTGTTTTACCACACCCAAAGAAGCGGAACATTCTGTAAAAAAAACCCAGAATAAGTCACGATCTTTTTATGAACAAACATGAGGTTGTTATTACAGCATATATTAATACATCAAATGCTGACGTTTTGGCGGTTTTACCTTCTTCAATGCGTGCAACGGTCAAATTTACATGTAATCTACTCAGCCATACACTTGCATAAAATCAGCAGGCAACACTTAATACACAAATTTTCGTTCCAGTAATAAACAGCTTCTTCTGAACACTCACCGTTTTGTTCCTTGTAAATTTTCCAGTTATTTGGTGCAGAGAGCCGCACAGGGTCTTACATGAGCGAGAAAGGCACCTGGATCAGCTCAAAGCACAAGCCTTAGGTATGGCGCTAGGTTACGCGTGATCACAACATAATTCTTTCCAAGGTTCATTTTTGGATTCTTGGAATTTGTCCAGAAGAGTTCAAAAGTTTTATGCATTGATGTTTTAGATTCATGCGCGAGGATCGTGACCTTCACTTCATAGTCCTCTCCGTTATATCTCTGCGTCCTACGCGCGCCTAGTGGAGTATTTGGTTTCAGCTTAAATTTACCAACTAAATGTTCCTTCATACAAACGCAGAGTGGTCTACGCGTTTCGCCAATATATGCGTTCCCACATGCTCTAGAGATCAGATAAACTGTACCCGAACTTAAGCAATCACCGTCTCTACCGTTAGGGCAAATTATGCAGTTTTTCGTTGTACGCAGACGGTTATATAGGCAATTACGAGCTAGCTGGCGTCTTAGAATGTCCAGTACTATTTCTATTATTGGTACCGAATTCTCTAGACCCTCCTTCTTAATCGACGTTTTATAGCCTCACTTATTTCGTTGAAAATAAGGTACAAGACAAACGGGATCTTATCGTCGCTGGAATTATATTTCGAGAGCTTGTGTTTTCCTCCACACCTATCTCAGGAGCTACAGTTCTTTGAACGTCCAGAAATGGAAGCCAGTTTTCCTTCGGTTTCTCTCGGGTTAATGTTATGTACTCTGAATGTCCGTTCAATAAGTCCAAACGTTTCTCCATCTCCTCTTGTGTGGAACAGGTGACAAAACAATCATCGATATATGTACAACAATGGCCGAAGATCGATTATTGGTGCTTCCACCTTAGGAATAAAGGCAATGGCAAAGCTTGGTGGCGGTCGCTCTCCCGTTGCCAACCCTCTAATTTGTGCGCAATATTTCCCTGACCATCTCAGCATTGAGCAGTTTAGGCACCCCTTTAGGATGGATATCACCTGCTGAATCGAGAATCCATAGATGTTTATTACAGCTTCGCTTTACATAAAGAACACGCGGATGGGTAGCCGTGCGGAGTTATTCGACAGAGTACAAAAGGTGGTAACGTCGAAGGACTCGATAACGTAAACACTATTAGGACGCGTTATGCAGACGATCCAGGAACATTTTGGCATTCGTGAGATGGATTGGTATGTGTATCAGCAACTTGATAAGAATTAGGTTTATAAAGAAAGCATTCTATTAGTGGGCTCTTCTGCATAACTGGTTATGGGTCTAACCTTAAAGACTGAGAAGTCGGCATACGCAAGATCATCAGTGAATGCTAACTTATGAGTTTTCATAGGTATAAGACGCGATATGTTGGTAGTTAAACTTTGAGTCGTGAAATAGCTAATGGTTTTAAACCTTCCGTGCTTGCCACTTTGACTCAGTCATTGTTCAGATTTCGATGTTGACCTTTGAACTCCTTTCCAGACTATAGGTGATAAAGCGAAGTGTTTCAAAGATGTTTCCCCGTTATATAAAAATACTATCCTCGAACATGACCGTAAAACATCAGCGCGTAAAACTCTTAAAGCGTTTTGGAAAAATTTCAAAAATCCAGAAATGAACTGCGGAAGAGAGTATCGTGTTAACAGGGGCAAACTTGCTCCATGCCTCAAGCTAATGCGTTCAACTGATCCAGGTACATTCATCGCCCATGTAAGACGCTATGCAGCTGATCACTAAATAACTGGAAAACAGAAAGAAAAAACGGTGAGTTTCAAGTTCAGTCTCAAAACGAGAACAACTGTAGACCATCGACTCAGATCATTGACTCTGGTGAAGACGAAGACGTCCGAACGTTAGCGGAATGAAGATTGTATATCAATTCTGTGTGAGCTTATCAAAGAAAGGAAACGGTGATTGTTTAAAAAAAGTTGTTTACTATGCGGATAAAAATTTATGTGCTACATTTTGCCTGATGAGCTTAAGAAAGTATTTGGTTGAGTAGATTGTATGTCAATTTGACCCTTCAAGGCTTTGTAGAAGACAAAACCGCCGAAAGGTCAGCTATTGCTTCCTAATAAATGCTATAATACCACCCTCGCGCCTGCTGATCCGAGACTAAATAAAAGCCGATTTTGGAATTTGCGACCCAGAAAAAGTTTTGAGAATGAAGACACCGTGAATAGGATTTCCCCTTGATAAAACGAGACAATTCACGTCATACTGCACTGTAAAAATTGGCGACAAGTGCTTAAATGTAGACACTGCACAAAAATTTGATGGGGCCTGCAGCCTTCATTGAAAATTTTAGAATGAAGTGTTTATAAATGTCGTCTAGAAAGAAAAGTCTTATCAAACAAACCATGTCGCAACCGAGCTATCGCGCTAAACATTTAAAGTCACTGTAGAAGTGAGATAAAAACTTGGCCCACCAGCAGATCCGAAATAGTTCTCGGCCCTAATCGTAATCCTTGATTTGTCTTCCATTTTCGTGGAAACGATCTTCAACTGTAGCGTACCATCATCCGATTCGCTCAACTGGAAGTGATCATCGCTGCTGAACGGCTTCCCATCGCGCAGCCATATCACATTCGGCTTTGGTTTCACCTAAAGACAAAAATGGTGATGTTCACAGCCGTTCTAAAAAAATGTACGACCATTTCCATCAACTGAGTTCCTACTTTTCTTCTTTACTGCTTTTCTTTATTTTTTGCCTTATTTCTTCTAACTTAATTATTTCTTAGAGAAAGACAAGGCAAAGGACCTCGGTTTGTGTGGTAGGTAGCACCTGAGCTCCTGGAAAAGATATTCGTGAGTTCGAAGCCTAACTAAGATTTCGAATTCTGCTTATATCTCAGCATCCTTTAAGTTCTTATTGTTTGAACACAACAATTTCTATTCAAAATTTAATTCTGAATTAAGATCAAAACGGAGAAGGTGGTTTTACCACTGAAGCAACGTTGTACAGTTGGCTTGCTCTAACTGCACTATGGGAATAAACTCCTGCAATCGGATAGCTACGTCTGCGAAGGAATCAAAATCTTTCCAGTTCAAGTCAGTTACCAAGAAATTAGAATATAATAATTTCTTCAATTTAATCCAGACTGCTCATAATTCCCTACCAATGCTTCACCGCATTATCGCCACTTTACGATGCTCTCATTTGTCGAAATACGATGTACAATCGGGTCTAACATAGTCACTCAAGGTGAGTACTTAGGCATCTATATCAAGAAGTACGACTGAGAGTAATGCTATGCTGTCGCGGAGCATACCTTGCTCTTGGTGACTATCTTGCCACTAAGAACGGAAAACGTAGGAACTCGAACAAAAATGCGATGCTCTTCGTGTCTCTTGAATTAACAGAGCGCGTTGCATAGCTCTGATGTGAGTAGGGCTAGTGGAAATTTAACTGACGTGCACACAAGTTATTTATTTATGGACGGAGAGATATGTACAGAAGTATAATAAAAGCTCAGTACTGTAAGTATACTTAGAAGAACGAATATTCAAGTACCGCAACAAACTGAAGAGCAAATGGTAACAGTGCTATAACACTGTGGTAGATACCTGGCTGAGTTTGGCTTCCATTATGGTCACTTCACCCTCGGTAACGAGAAGATCATCGAGATTCTTTGAGAAAAGCGGAGCTTCACCAGTTCGCTTCACTGCTAACGTTACGTTTTGCTTTTTCATGCCGCTATTGTTTGATGCCTAAATAATAAAGAGACTGCCAGGATGAAATCCAACGAAAATCGCAATATTTTCCAAACTATTCAAAACTCGAAAAATTCACACGTTTCAGAATTCATTTAAACACTGCTCTGTTCATGATGAAACCTATTCTACGCAGCATAACACCTTTTAGGTTACTGAAACACAAAGTTTATAACTTGAAATCGTTTTCCAAGACGTTACGCATCCTACCTGACATGAGAGTTCGCCAGCTTGTTCAGGAATGATCCCTTTAATTTCAATAGTATGCTTACCAGCTTCGTCGGAAACGGTGATGTTGCTGAAAAGAGAATCGGGAAAACTAGGAAATGCTTCAAGAAAGTGCTCACTATAGGGGAATCTCAGTAACATGGCCGTCAAATAAATAGCATGTTATAGATGAAGACGTGTTATATTGCAGTAAGCTAAAAAACCTGCATTTGACAAAAACAGTTTGAAATAGTTAGTTTTAGTTAAAATATAGTTCAACGATTATAGTAGAACTTACGCATGCTTGCTAACTGGTTCGCCGTTCAGCAACCATGTTACAGTGGGTTCAGGGTAACCCTCCACTGTTGACGTGTATATGACGGTATCACCTAAATTTTTTTTTGCAAATTTTACACTTGTAAAAGAAGTTAAAATCTATTGAATGACAGCATTCTTATCTATATTCGCTTGTTCTATTCACTGTTAAAAAGGTTTCGTAATGTACCGATAGCGTTCTTACTAATCTTAGCCACGAATTGCTCCGGTTTGATATCACTCCATGTTCTTTAGCAACTATATCTCATTCCTTTTTTTCTATAATTAAGTTCTAGACGAGCACATACAACGCAAAAAAGCCTCCAGCAGATTTTCAGTGGAATGATCTAGATTGTGAAACCAGTGAATCCCAAGTTTTTAACCTTGTTTCCAAAAAATATTGCGCTGTTTAAAAGAATAAGCGGTTCGAACCTTCATTAACTTGTCGATCATCCATATTACTGACGAATCTCGGCACTTCCATCCTTCGGTCGACCTAAGCATGGAAATTTTCGCAAATATTCAAGAAGGCTACACATCATTCACATATTAACCATTAAAATACCGGAATCTTCATCACCTTCATCCATTGACGACAATATGAGACTCATATTGCTCATGCGGGGAGTGATGAAAAGAAAAAACAGGCGAATTCCCGCATGGAAACTATTGAAAACCCCATAGGATCGTCAGTGGGCCAAGAAATAGTCTTCAGCACAAACAAGTAGCGATTAGAACGACCGCGAAAGAAGTTTGGTGAAGGATAATACCGTAGCTTACCTTAAGGATGGCGGTAGCTTCAGCGCTACCAGCGCTATTCTCTGCCACCACTCGAACGGTGCCACTCTGTGATATTTGCGGTTGGTAGATTCGAATTGACGTTTTTCCGGTGTCTTCTTCGAATTTAACTTTGATCTCTTCGCTATTCTCAATTTTCCTGTTGTTCAGATACCAAGTGACCTACAAATACATAGTGCAGCCAATTCCATCACAAACTCTATGGGTATACAGTACTGTGGTTTTATAATTTCCCGAACTATCACGTCGTAAGCCTTATGAGGCGTAAAGTTTCGTGTCGCAGAAGTATTACTCGGACAAAAACTTTCCAAGACCCTGGAAAAAAATACAAGACATCCTTAACTCCCCAGTTACACTTGAATTCGTTTTTTTTATAAACTCCGCTGGAAAAACATCCAAATTGCTTGGAAAAATACCAATATTTAGCTATATTACTGCCATCGATGTTACTATAAGTAAAGCTGTAACCACCGTTTCCCACTAGCAATTTTCCGACTTGCTACTATTATTTCACGGTGCTCTCAGTACTGTGGCGATTACTGCACAATCTATTTGTAAGGACAAATAAGGGACAGAACTAATCGAGCGACTTATAAAAATACGGTGGAGCTAAGTAGAAAATGAATAAGGCGAATAAACCACTCACAGTAGGAGTAGGTGTTCCTACAACGATTGCACTAAATTTCACGCTATCGTCATCAGTGTAAGCTTCGTGATTTTGAGGTGTCTTTGTGAATTCAGGCTTTTTCGTTCCTTTGTCGACTGTTATCTGGAGAAATGAATGGTATCACGGGAGGAGCTACACATCTACGACTCCCAAGCTGACGAAAACCAACCTTCGAAGTACATTCACACTCCCCTACTGGGTTCATTGCCTTCACGGTCACTGTGCCAGCTTGGTTTTTTTTCACGTGTTGAATCGTCAAGCGATAAGTGCCATCACCAACATCGGTCATCTGTGCACACACAAATACATCAGATGTTTCATAATTACATCTCCTATGCATCCTTAATTACTCGATTAGTCCCTTTATGACCCTCTCTCTCTCTCCGACTTCGTAGACAAAAGTTGAAAAAACCCAAACGAAAACTTCACCAAGACTAACAAATCAATCAATTTCTATTCGGTGCTAACAATGTTTAGCTCAAAAACGAAGAAAGTGAGATTCTGGGAAAGAACATCTTTTTCCAGCTATCACAGTTGTAGAAAGCCAATTAATTCTCAAAACTACTAAAGCTCAGACTATGACTTGATCTGGGAATTTACGTTTACTCCAGCAATGCTGATTATTGCCTCACCTGCACCTCGGGAGATTCCTGCAGTTCTTTTCCGTTTATGTACCATTTCGTGATAGTGTTAGGCTGTGCTTTTTCCAAAGCCACTTCTAGCTTCAACGAATCTTCTTCCTTGACACTGACGTCAGTCAACTGCTTTTTAAACTCCAGAGGAACTAATGATGGTTCCACCTAAAATTCGAGGCTCTTGCATAGCGCAGTTCTAAAGTCGGATATCAAAAAAAATTTTTAACAACAACAGAAATTCCTGCACGCTGATGAAGCAATCATTACATTCTTTACAAAGGCAAGCGAAGACAAGTTTTGATTTCCTCAAATTCTGTAGTTTGAAAAGATGCATGGTCAGAGTTCTCCTTATAACGAATTTTTAAACACCAAAACTTGACATGTTCCAAAGGAAACATGCTTATAACTAATTCACCATTTCTTTTGATGAGCAAACATGAGGTTGTTACTACATTCCTTAACACAGTTGGCGTTTCGGCAGTGTCGCCTTCTTCATACCATGAAAAGGCCTTTCATAACCTTAGCAGATAAGACTTAACACATAAATTCGCATTCGCATAATAAACAGCTTCTTTTAAACACCCACCGTTTAAGTCGTTGTTGGTATTTGAGTAAACTGGTGGAGAGCTACCGCACAGAACATGGGCGAAGAATGTGGAAGAATGTGCCTGGGTCAGGTAACAGAATCAGCCTGAGGTGGGCTCTAGGTCACACGCAATAAAAGACACTCCCTTTGCGGACCACTTTTGGATTTTTGGAAGCAATCCAAAACGTCATAAGAGTGAGTGCATCCAAAGACTGAGAGACAGGCGTAATGAAGGGACCACATGATGTGGTGGTGAACGCGTTATTCTCCGGGGAGGGCAATTGTGCGTTCGCTCCTCACCGCAGACACCTGCGGTCCAGAATTTTGCAAATATCTTAGCATCATTGTGACTGGATAACACATAATATCCTACCGTGAAAAATTGTAATAGGCAATAAATAAAAGGTTAACATTGTGATTCGTCTCAAGAGCGTTATGCGCTGATGTCTTGGATTACTGTGAAAAGATAGCGACTTTCACTCCAAAATCTTCACCGTTGTGTTTCTGTTGTCCAATGCGCGCCCAGCGGAGTATTTGGTTTAAAGCCAATGGCAAGGTTGGTGCTGGGACGCGTGACCTAGCGCAATACCTCAGGCTGATTCTTTGACGTAGGCCAGGCAAATTCCTCGCCCATATAAGACTCTGTGCAGCTGATCTTCACCAAATAATTGGAAAACATACAAAAAACCGAATAGTGAGCGTTTAAAAGGAGGTGTTTATTATGAGAACAGAAAACTGTGGTAAGTTTTGTCTACTGAGATCATGAAAGCGTTTGGCTCAGTAGATTGTCAACTTGACCTTTATAGGCTCTGAAGAAGGCGACACTCCCAAAGCGTCAGCTATCGTGTATTAAATGCTGTGATAGCAACCTCGTGTTTGCTCATCAAGAAAAGCGGTGAATCATTGATCGACGCCGAAGTTAAAAGGAAGACGGTCGTGGAAAATGCTTATAACGACTCAAAAATAGTCGATATCGATCCAAAACAATCACACCACAGACAAAATCTTATTCTCAGAGTGCCTTTTTTCTGAATTATCTATGGTTCGTCGAAATTTCACAAAGAAGCTGAAAAAAAACACACGACGAACTTAAGAATTACCTTAAGATCGGCCGTCCTTGAATCACTTCCCATCGTATTCTCTGCCGTCACCTTTACCGTACCAGCACTGGAAGCGCTGACATCGCTAATCCGCAGCAAATAGTCGTTCGCACTACGTGAGATAACCATAGTGCTACTCTCCCCCACCAATTTATCATTAATCGCCCACTTGACAGTGGGTTCGGGATGGCCGATGATTTTCACCTGATAATAAAAACCTGTGAAAGGTAAAAACATTGGTAAACTCGAAAAAAAAGCTTACTTTTTAAGAAAATACTAGCCAAACAATTTCATATAAAAGAAATAAACATAAAGTGCAATAGATTGGAAAACTCGGTTATCGCTGTCGTACACTTAACTTGTGCGAGAAAAATTGAAAAACACAATGTGCTAGAAAGAACCTTCTAAGGTGACGACATTATTGATTACGGTTATATAATAGTTACAGAATTGCTTTTTATACAATGCTACTTCGTCCTTTTGGTTTAATTCGACTTCACAACTAGTACTCTTATAATCCACTGTTCTTGACAGCTTTACAACATTTTGGTTACACAAATCCTAATCAGTTACCTTGAACTCCGCCGTTTCCTTCTCTTTGATGGTAATATTCTGCGGGCCCTCAACAATTTGAGGAGCACTTGATTTTTGGATAAGTGTGATTTGAGATGAGGACTCGACTGAGCTATGCTCGTTCGTAGTGATCAAAGACACTGTAAATCAACAAATGACCTGATAACAATGGTATAGTACAGTTGCTTTATATTTACAGCCTATGGCAGCGCATGATGTGAAATGTTCTGAGAGAAAAGCGAAACGAAAGAGCCGCATGGGTAGTGGTGAACGCATTAGCCGCACGAAAGGGTAATAGCGTGTTCGACCCCCACCGCTGACACCTGTGGTCTGGAGATGGTCATGTGTACTGTATCTATAGTATAAACAGTGTTATGATACGGTAAACGCAAAATAGCAACGAAAAGCTTCTGTAAAGGAAAAAAAACAACATTTATGGGTAACGTACGCGTTCCGCTGTGCGATGATTCCGCTTTATCAACGGATAACGTGGATTTACTATGATCGCTAACGATGTGCACACCATCTTTTCCATCCTGAAACTATTGAGTTAATGAATATCCCTTCCAACAGTAGAAATTTCCATTGCTATTCTGAGCATGGGAAATCTAAGACTTTAAGACTTTAGACTTTAGACCTTAGAAAGACTTTAAACCAGTGGAAGAACGACGAAACATAAGGATGAAATATGTGCCAAACCACAGAAATGCTTTAGTAGACTGTAATATCTCCACAAAAAACATGGACCAATCCGAAGACACATGCATTATGAAACATAAAGTATCAAATCTATTCAGAAAACAATGATCCACTTCTTTTCACTTCTGGTAAAAAGGCCCCAGTTCAAAGCCGGGTTTAATTGGAAATTTGTATAGCGTCATAGATACTACTCAAGTAATGAATGCATTCGAATGAGGACTTTTAAAAAACTTAAAAGGGGAAGAAAGACACATCGACAATACCTCGAGGGTCTCTCCATTGATCATCCACTTGAACTGTGGGGAACCTTTGGCGGACACTTCAACTTTGAAAGGTTCGCCCAATGTCACAGAGACATTGGGAAGCTTATCGACTAAGTCAGGTTTCTCAACAATCTTCATCTCACACCTAAAGAAAATTTCAAAAAAAAAAAATGAATGATATGCAGACAAGGACAGAACGTCAATAATGGCCAAGAGTAAATATCAAACCTATGCCACTTGGAAAACTCATTAGATTCTCATTATCACCACTGTTTAAATTTTCTATATTTCTCCGGATGTATTCCAGTTTTTGCAACTTAGACTGCTTAGTTAAACTCCAAAGTATTTGAAAACCCTGTCGTAGGCTTCATCTCTGAGCAAAAACTTATCGAGATTGTTTTCTTCCTGCTAAAAATTCGATCCATTTCACAACTACGCTTCATTCTAAGCGCTTTTCACTCAAACAGATGCATCGTTTGGGTATGTGTTAAAGGTCGTTATTCAAATATATCGGAATGGTTCTTTCCTTTCACCTCAGTTATTCGTCAAAACTACAAAATCACTTACTTAGTTTCCACCGACCCGGCTTCATTTATTGCCCTTACACTGATCGTACCCGTTGAAAACATTGATGAATCAATCGATAAATTGAATTCGTATTTCGTTTCTTGGCTGATTTTAACACCTAAAAACTTCTCGGCGTCCTTTATGGTCGTTCATTTAAGATGAAAGATAATGTGATTCTCCTCTGATGACGTCCTTACCTTCAAGAAGTGTCGTCAATTCCCTGCCATTGTGATACCACTTCACTTCTGTTGCGTTCTCGACAACAACATCGAAACAGCAAGGTTCGCCTTTGATGACTGTCTGATCTTTGAGATCTCGAGTGACTTTTGGAGGCTAGAAAAAAGAGAATTTTTAGATAACTTAATAGAAATATAATCTATGAAACTTCTTATTTAAGAAGACTCGACTCTAACAAAGATTTTCGAATCACAAAAGATTTTATCGACCCTATGCTGACAAGACTAATGCTTAACGAAGAGCACTTAAATCATAAGTTACCTAAAAATCGTACAACAAAAGTTTCGGATTTAGTGGAGAAGTACGAACTTGGAGAGGCAAAAATCGAGGTCATTCGATATGGAACCTTTATAAACATGGAAAAAAATCTTTTAAACGAGTATTAGTGAATAAATTGTGATCCCATTTCGGAGAACTCAATTTAAGGATTCTGCAAATCCGAAAACATTCACGGTCAGTCTACCTTGGTTGGTTCAGTCTGCATTTTTTGAACATCGTCTTTCGCAATGCTCTCCTCCATTCCAGCTGTTTCCTTCACTTCTGTGCCAATTAGAGTGGCCCGTAACTGCTCAGAAACTTGTTCGGTGGCAGTAATTACTTCCTGGATAGGTTCTTTTGCTACTTTGGTCTCCTCATAGTGTTCCTCCTTCACTACCTCCTCAGTCACAAGCGATTTGGTAGGAGCGACTTCGATCTTCAACGGAATTGATAACAAACATATTCACAGACACACGCCGAGATGGCGAGGAGAAGATTTAAACTTTGTTATAATAGCGAAGAAGTTGAGAAAAGATGTCATGCCGCCGATATCTATGTCATTTAAGAAGTTAAGATAAGGCGAAACCATTAGAAAATAGCAGCTGTATCTGTTAGTAGTCACTGAGGAAAAACGAAGACACTCAAAAAGTCAAGCCTATTCTATTAAAATGGCAAGTTGCCATGACCAAGATACTACCTGTGACATTTCAATGCTACCTTCTTGAGAGGTTACAATCTGGGTTTCTGTTCGAGATACTTCTATCTTTTGTTCGGTTACCTAAATAGTATTCAGAAATCGTATGGATTCTTTTCCTACTTGAATCCATTACATCGGTGGTGTTCCCTTTGTGAACATCTTCGACCATTGAAGTGACTGAGGACAGGAATGCATGGACCCTATTAGCATTGAAAACGACTATAGGAAACTCAGAGTTGAAACGAATATACCGTCAAATGCCGCAAACGATATAAAAAATCGTGTCAAATGGGAAAAAAAACAAAAAAGGAAAAGTCAAATTTCTCGTAAATATATCTGAAACAAAGTCCTCAACAAGAATTATTCACGATCAAATTTTCTTCTTAAATTATAAGTTCATCAAATGAAATCTCTTCTATTTAGACTATGGCGTTGAAGACACTCGGGGCAAAAACTTAAGCTCTGAGATTCGCATTATGTTTTAGAAAAAATGAGGTGGTAGCATTTAAATAGTAGTCCTTGGAGTTTTACTTACCTTCTTTTCTTCAACGATAAGACGAGCGCCAGTCTCGTCTGATCCGAGATTGTTCTCAGCGACTACAGAGATGGTAGATGAGATTGAATGGATATTCGTATCAACGATTAGTACCGACATTTCATCCACCATTTCTAAGCGACATCCCTCAGTACTATCACGAATCTAAAAGTAAAATCTTCAAAAACGCAATGCATGCAAGACAGATGAGGGCTAAGCCTACCGATACAACATTAGAAAAACAACGAAATCTCATCGCTGCTGTCAATACACTTCCAAGAAAACCACGAATGGCAATGCAACAATGAACGACAACTTTAAGGCAAATGTTTTCAATGGTCAGATGCGCTGTCAGCGGCATAGCCAATGCATTAACTCTTTGTGGCAAAGAACTTGGATTCGATTTTTACAGCACCAGCCGCAACTAAATTATTTTAGAAGTCGGTGTTCAACTCCTTTTCAACAACCTTACATTGATTCACTGCCCATAATTTTTACAGGATTTCATCAAGGACTCAGTATTTAGCTGTGAAATGTCGACACTGTGCCACTTCAAAAGAAGGTGCTCCTCATTTTTTTCAAAATCCCTTGGCAAAATTCTTCCAAAGACGAAACATTTTTAGTATATGTGCTTTTTAACGGCGCACATCCTCATGGGATGGATGACTAAGAGCTCCTTAAAGCACCATATAGATCCAACTGAGGCCAGCGATCTCAGATATAAAGAAATCTCAGCTGTACCTTTCTACCATCAATTGACCACTGGTATGTGGGAGCCGGGATGGATTCGGCATGGGCCTCAAACCGTGCTTCGGATCCTCTGAAATAGTTCATCCGACTTTTTTTTCTCATTTCTCCATTGCTTTTCTTTTTATTATTGTTGAGTCACACAAAAGATATAGTACATGACTGAAGTGCTCTCTTTGCATCTACCTATTGTTTTTTCTTTGTTATACAATTCGATTAGCTCATTTGCACTTCAAAACAACTCCTATCCATCAATACGTTAAACACTGGGGTCTTCAAAATCATTTACTCCACAGAAACCGAGATAAAGAAATACCGTTCGCCAAAGATTCTAACTTCACCAACCTTTCAACTGTGACGCTAACTGGTTGTTTGTCGAACGATGGCGGAAATGGTGTTCGAGTGACGATGAGTTGAGCTGCTGAGATGGCCGATCCCTCGGAGTTCGATGCTTGACATCGGACTTCACCCGCATCATCCAGCTTAATTCCTCGTAATTCTAGCTTCACTGAACCATCGAATTCACGGATTACAATGTTCTGAAATTGTATAATTTCCGAATGATTCCTAACAAACTCAGTCCTGTGAACTACAATGAATCAGAGCAGTTGAAACTATCAAACAGTAGTCATTACTTAATATGTTCATATCTCCTAGGCCTTAATTATAAAACAGTTCTCACAACCGTCTCCAAACCCGCTCAGCTCTCGAGAAAGAAATTCTTGGGATTTTCTTGAGATATACGTGCCATTAATCATAAACGAATATCGTTGAGATGTATCTCTTAAAATCCTCAGTAAACAATTTTGTTCAAAAAGCGCTGTAGAAATCATAAGGCTTATATCAACAAAATAATAGTTCGTTGATAGAAACATATGTTAGTAATCTTCCCAGGAGATAAGATCTTAAAGTTAACAAGTATACATTAACGGAAAGAATCTATACTCACCTCAGAACTCTTTAGTTCCACATTCTTCAAGAACCACATAACATCAGGTTTAGGCTCAGCTTCAACATGAGCCTGAAAAAGGAAACACTGAGCAGTTCATAACATTCTGAAAGCGAACGACAGTTGTCTACCTGCCCTGAAGTATGTAACCTATCAAAGCAAACTAACAATAACCGCTTCTATACCTCAAAAACAACTGTGCTTCCTTGGACGTCTGACCGATCGCTGAGTAATTCGGTGAAGCGAGGCGCTTTCTTCGGCTTTTCTTGAGGGAGTACAGTTAGACGAGCTTTTGTCTCAAACCGACCGGCTACGTTCTCAGCTCTTAAAGACAAACGAAAATATTCTTAACACTCATCTCGGTGACGAATAAAGAACTCTTAAAGAGAGAAGAATTAAAACGGAAGAAAAGAGAGAAAAAAAATAAAGAACGAAAGAATTAAACAAACGAAATGAAGAATAAAAGCGCGCAAACGGCAGTTCCTACGGTAACTACTCTCCCGAATAGTTACTACCGTTCTGATCCTAGTATGAATCAATCGCTATCACAAGCTGCACTTCATGGCTACGCATCTATTGCGTTGTATGTACCTTGCCATCTCGAGCTAACACACCACCCATCTGCATACTATACTACAGTTCTTCTTTTGATTGTTGCACTCTGTGTGTCTACTTAATGATCGTCAGCCAAGTCTAACCATTCCACAGCCTCCTCCCGACCGCGGATCAGCTGTTGATCTGCGGATGCACACAATATCCTATCCCACTTGCACCCGACCATAATCCATGGCCAGTATTGTACAGTACTATTATTTCTCTATCACATCACTATAACACTATTGTATACAATATTTTACCACTGGTAATGCTCCTTATTGCTCAATATACTATTTCTACCTAGTAATCACGTTGCTGCTTATATTTTTTGCATTTAAGGGTTCACTGTCGCCACTTCACTATTAATGCCTCATCGTTATTGTGCAGTTCATTTACCCATGTTTAAGACCTGGTGTTATAATAAAAAAAGCAAGGAAACATGCGTGGCAAGAAATATCGCACAAACGAGCAACTTCATTGCAGTTACTACTGATAAATAGTATAGCAACAACCTCGTGTGTGGTAATCAAAAAAACAGCGACTTGCAAAAGAAGAAGGTAAAAAACAAGCCGTAATGAATTATTGAACTATTGCGAAGAAAAAATGCATTAGAGACAAAAAAGTAAGAAACCTGCAGAGAATAGTTCCAGCATACTGTGCAGAATCGATTGTCAGCTTGTGATCATGATTGATGACCTCAAAATTCGAGAGATAAAAGTGAGAAATGCCCCAAAAGCCACTTAAAAAGCTTTGAAACATTCAAAAAAGTTGTTTTCACTCTTTCAAAAGGAGTACTAGCAATGCCATAATAACTTTACCTCTATCTTCACTCCAGGTGTGTTGTTGTCCATTTTCTGACCGTTGATGAACCACGTCACTTCGGGGTTCGGACTTCCTCTAACCGTGGTCTCGAAAACTGCTGGCACACCGTATTTTACAGTCTAAAATTTAAGATCGACTTTTTATTAACCTCGGCATTGGATTATAAATCTGTCGCTTTCTTTCTCAGCAATCGCGAGGTTGTTAAACATCATACATTTACTTCCATACAATAACACACATTCAACACAGAGCCGCTTTTTTCAACTCTCTTCCAGCGAGGAAGAACAACCGCTTAGAGCCTTATATGGTTGATGACTTTGTATGTGTATTGTATGGAGGTAAACGCATGCTGTTTAACAACCTCGCGATTGCTGAGAAAGAAAGCGATAGATTTCTAAAATTTAACTTTACGACTTTGTATTCCATATCCAATGCACTTATGTAAAAAAGCTTTAATATGTCCAAGTTGTAGTTTCATACCCGTGCTGGATACCAAAGAGGTCGCAGAAATAGCAAGAATGCAGTAAACACGTCTTAGTCTTTATTTCCTCCATTTTTGGTGAGTTTCAAATATCTAACTATGGAATATTTCAGCTAGAAGTCAAACATCAACACTCTAAGGACGAAGGTTGAACCCCTCTCTTTTTTTATCTTCTTCACTTCGTAATTCACGGAATCTTCCAAAGATGCACAATGACTACTGAAACATGGCTTTTACGACTTTAGAAAAGGAAGGTGTTGCTCAAAAAGATTCAGAAAAGAGTAAAAAGATACTACTTGAATTGAAGTGCACTCGACTTCCTCAGTGACCACTAGTGGGATTGCATATACTGCATTTTCTCGTTTTAAAGAAAACAGTTTATGGTCCTTCTCTAAAAATTATACGACTTCTCAAAACAGTGAACCCAACCCACTGTGAGTATAAACAATGTAGGTGAACAACCCAATAAGTGGTCGAAAAAAGGATTAAAAGATGGTGGCACCCAGATGCATGGAATGCTGAAACAACTTCCTGTCAATATTTCAAAGAGCGATTGTCTTTTAGACGCATGGGCCGATTCCTCAATCCTAGTAGACCATGTGTGAAGAACAGTAGAACTTATTTCTGCGCCAACCTTTTCTTTACATTCGTTTTTGAACTACTATGGCAATGAGACTGCCAGCAATTTAATATACGACTATTGGCGGCCCATCTTCACTGCAGAGACCTAGCGTATTCTCTACTTCACTTCAAATTCGACCAAAACTTTCGACTGTGTATTACTCAACAAAGTAATCACTTGAAACTATACCAATGGATGAACACTGTGTTGGGCACTATGGGAAGAACAGCGCTGGAGGTCCGACGATGAAGGTGAGGGAGAGATGCGGCAGGAATGAACCTCACTCAGCTGGCAGTTGCCAAAGTTCTTGAAGGCAAACAAGACAACAATCTCATACATCTGCACACTTCATGGACTCGGCTTTTACAACAACAACGAGAATCGCAAATGTGATGAAGCAACACATGAGCATAGGGAAACACATGACTAGAGAACCTGACGGGGACGCTCTTTAAATGAGTGCAATCCTCTGAACTCTACCACCCACGGAATCCTTAGGATTATTCTTTTCGAGGCCTTGAAAGAATCCTAAATTTCCCAGAAACACGTCCGCGTTAGCGAAAAAACACCTTTGTGATCCTGGTTATAAAGAAGAGAAGTTCTTCCATGATTAGAATGCTCGGAGACAAAAGAAAATGTACAAAGTAAGAACTAGTCTCCCATAATGTTTCAATGGATAAAAAATTTGTTAAAATCGAGAAAAAACTCTTCTTGTTCAATAAATTCGAGTCAGAAAATTGAAAACAAATTTCCGCTTGATGGCGATTTCAACATAAGACGCAGTAGAAAACTCGTTTTATGAAGACGATGTTAAAGTCGTTAACTAAATGGAAACTTCAATGCTAACTTTTTGCTGCCTACCATAATTTTTCATAGCAGGGTATAATGAAAAATACAGCTACAATGATGCTGGGATATTTGCAAAACTCGGGACTGCAGGTGTCTGCGGTGGGGAACGAACACGCTATTACCCTTTCCGAGTACTAACGCGAAATTATAGTAGACATCAAATAAAAAGTTAGCATTGTGATTTCAACTACAGCTTCAGCTTAACTGAATTCAATTCCGATTTGGGTTCCCCAGATCAATCAGGTTGACGGGTGATTGCTGATGGTGCTGATCGATAAAACTAGCTGAGAGACGGGCGAAACGGTGTGGTGGTGAACGTGTTAGCCCGCGGAAAGGGTAGTGGAGCGTTCGTTCGCTACCGCAGACATCTGCGGTCCAGAGTTTTGCAAATATTTCGGTATCATTGTGGTTAAATGGAAATTTGTCGACAAGATTATCAAAAGAACAATAGAGAAAATGGTTTTAAAAATGTAGGTCAGTCAGTCGCAATGTGAATGAAAAGACGCGCAGAAAAGTAAATATGAAGGCTGATTCAGGCGGCAACAATCGGCAAGCTTTTAGTAGAGCTGAGTTTTTTTTTCAATCTACGAAAGGTTCTCAGCGCCGAGTAACAGCACTTAAGTGTTCGACGATTGTACTCTTCTCCGCCCACACTACTCAGGAAAAACTTTGTGTTAAGTGATAGATGTGATAAAAAAGAAAAGAGATTTATCGGCTATTAGAGACACTATTAGAGACACAGATAACTGATAATCAGCAAACATGAACGCTGATAGCATTGGCGTTCGACTGGCAGAACTACATAGGTGAACAATTGTCATACACTAGAATATGATGTGAGACAGTAACCAGTCTGCTGATTGCACGAGTTTTCTGCTAGCCGAGAGAAAAGACTTAAAGCGTTCCGCACTGATCAATCATTGGTGATGGGTGCGTGATGTATTTGTCTCCATTCGTGGTGTCGTAGATTGGTACATACCTGACCCATGCAACAACGTGTGGGGAACTACCAATGTATCAACTTAGTGTTTTAATCTCTCAGACCAAACTGGTACCCCCACCCCCCACCTTGATAGGATTTAGGGCTTCGCTTGCACGAGGCACCCGTGTCGAAAAAAGACTGCTTGTGTGCTATAAAATACCTCCAACCACTCCACAACATGTGATCGTTAAGAAAACGAATTCACTAGTTTAGTAAAACAATTGCTTAAATAGAAAGTTCAAGAAAGTGTAAAATTTCTCTAGCACATTTCCATAACCTACTTGATCCTCAATGTCCTTGATGAATGTTGGTGCACTACGTGACTCCTCCATTGGCTCCACAGTTAGCCGTGCACGACTTTCGGCTGAACCATGTTCATTCACCGCTCTGCACACGATCTCGCCATCGTGTTCATCCACCTTGCAGCCGGAGATGATCACCTTATAATAGCCATCAGCACCAGCGATCTCCACACCATCAACGCCATGTTTAAGCTGAAAAACGCTATTAAGTGAGAAAACCTATCAATCACTATGTTTATAAAACAGCAAAAGCTTTAATATTTAAACGAAACTCGCCTCAATGGATATTTTAGGGGTTAAAAACAAACTGCCCTCTTTTATAGGTATTGCAAGCCTTTCATGTGTTAACGATTTTTTCCACATCTTCCCCTTCAATTCCAATTCAGGTCGCTCCGTATTCTTTCCTAGCCCCGGGCGATATAAATCTTTTGGTTCCTGATGCACAAAGCTCATACTTTCTGGTTTGAAATACAAAGAAGCAGTGCAACCATTTTCTCTAAAAAAAACTTTTTTCATGAAACAAATGAAAGAACAGACCTCTTTTCGTTTTAACGTGAATGTCACTTCTGGTTCTGGATAACCAAGAACATCGACTTCGAATGAGACCTGAATATAAAGATGTTACTGATGGTTTGAGTGGTAGTTATATTTCTGAAACTCTTCAGTTCATCAACACAATCTCAACACCCAAAAGTTTTGTGCCTCGTCATTGTTCTCATGAGGTGTAAATTTCTTGGTTCTTTAACCACACTGTGCTGGAAACTACGCGAAAAAAATAGTGACTTGATTCCCCAAATGAAAAGCACTGTTATTAGGAGAGCAGATTTGTTTTGCTCGAATAGAGTGTTGTCTACTAGTTTCAGCTTCCGTAGGAATTCAGAAAATAAGGTTAGCAACACCGTAAATAACACAGTAAATATGTTTTCGGCTGTAGTGTACATCTTAGCATAGATTATCGTTTTAAATACTGAAATCCAAGTTTTAGAGCAACACAAAGGACCTAAAAATGATGGCTAAATCCTCAAAAAGCGATACAACGACCCTTCAGCCTATTGTTTGTTTGACAGAAAAAATCACAGTCGTAAAACCTCAACCGATTCGTATGCCATCAAGAGCAAAACAAAAATTTAGTTTTCTACTGCGAAAAAAACGCCTCTAGACGTAGCCTCCAACGACTCTTTGTAGGTTCGTGCGGTTCTAGGCACCAAGCTTTAATCACATTTTAGAAAAACGAAACTTAAAAACATACGATAAGATCAGTCCAACTATTTACTATTGTTATTTTTACCTCTTAGTGCTCTTTTACCTTATCTGGTGTGTTTGGAAAACGGAACACCAGCGGTATCAAACAGTAATGAGCGATATCACTACAGGGACTGTCTTGAGATTAAGTGCGTCAATCTCCGCACTAGCGCAGGAACCGTAGACGTTGCACAAGAAACAAACGTGTAAAAATGATTGCAATATATTTCTATGGCTTAATCACAGCTGTATTCTTTCAATCACTATGCAAAAAACGATACGTTGGCCTGATTGGTGACATTATCACCACTAAATAAAAAAGCATAATAATGTACCAAATGCCTCTGTTCAGAGGATACCGACATTGCATTGACTAATATGACTTCTACAAACACGGATGTCTTTTTTTCATTAAACTCGATTGGCCATTAAACGTAACACGCTGTACGGACCCCAGGGCTTCTTGCATTTGATTTGTTTCCAAGCATTTATCGTTCCCGAAGATCTTCAAACCAAACTCTTCGCGTGTTGATTCGGCTGCTACTTGAGGACTGCCGCTTTCTTTATGTGTGTCGTTGAACGATGATCAAGTGGATTCTCTTTGGATTCATGAGAGAGTCATGCTAGAGCGTTCCCATGTGCACTGCAGAGAACAAGATGGTCCTAGACAAGTCTGGTAGCAATTTTCCGATCCCGGAGTAATGAAAAACTTGGTAAGCTTAGCACAGAGTCGAACCACCACCGTGTTTGTGATGAATAAACGTATACTGCCACCACTAATATAATCTATGAGTCCGAAATCGATACTTCTGAAGAGATGGATACCGGAGAAGAACTTGTTTATGCAGCACATGGAATGCAAAACCAACCTTCTAAGAACCTTCTATTGGTTCCACTAATAGATTTTTGTATGATATAGCCAGAACTTTTAACTATTTTTTTTAGAATTTGTGTAGCTCAACCGACCACTGCATTCTCCTGAGTTACTCTATCGTCTAACGGCTTCGCGAACGTCGGTGGTGTTGGTGGCACTCGGACTTTCAGACGGCCATTGCAACTGGTCGTACCGAGCCGATTCGAACCCTAAATATTTCTGGGTTAATTGGTAATGATTAGTTTAATGGCTACACATATGAAACAGCTTCATATTTAAGCATCTTAAGAGTTACCAATCATGAGAAAAAACAGTACTCTTGTAGCTTCATTGAAAAATTTATAACCATCAAACGGTTAATACATTTATAAACGCGATTCGGACAGCGGACTTCACAATATTTCGTAAAAAATGACCGGTTTTGCATGACACTTAAAAACTCTTATTCGTTTGTAATTTTTAGGTCGCTAAAGAAAACGAAAAACCCGTTCACAACGTCAGAAACCCAAGAAAATTTGCAAGAAAAAAATTGTAAATATTATATAGAAGTGCGAACACGAGTTCGAAAAAAATCAAGAGAAAAAACTAATGGGTCGGTTCCAGGAAAAAAACGGATACAATAATAAAAAAATGCCAAAAATTTGAATATTTTTGAAAAAATCTCCTATTTTAGAGATCAGAATTATCAACGGTACTAGAAAAAACATTTCTTTTCGTCTACAAATTCTTATTTTGTAGTCATTCTTCTATTCCCTTTGTCTTTATGAAGTTAATCTAAATATGATTTCCGAGCAAATCACGTTCGTTCGGTAGCGCATCCATGAATAAGCCGGCTAAGGTGAGTGCAATGTGCAAGAAGAGCAGTGATAAAGCAAAGATGTAACTAAGTGATATGATAAGGAATAAAAATTCCTGTCAAAAAAGTATACGCGCAATGAGAGCTTACACTAAAAACACAACACAAAAACGATCATTATGATACAAACCTGACAAGTTACCGTGCCATCAAAGTGCCTGGTCACATCTTTGATTGTAAGAATGCAGATACCGTCTTCAGATATAAATTGAACCTGAATTGTGATTCAGTATAACCATGAAAAAGTATGAACTCGGCAAAACTATTCAATCAATAAACGAGTTTCCAAATAACTTGTCGCTGCATGGTCTATGCACATTGATTAGGGTGCTTTGCCGATCAATACGCGGATATTTTATGCTCGTCTTCAACAGTGTCTCTAGTTTCGTACGGCTTTGACAGCGAACAATACATAAAATTATCAAAATATTAGCCCGATAAAAAACGTTATTAACCTTCTCAGATTCGCTAAGAGGAATTCCGTTGATCATCCAAGTGATTTCAGGATTAGGATCACCAGTGATTACCGACTTGAATCGAACCTCATCACCTTCGTTACATTCTACATCTTCGAGAACAGCCTTCAAATAGCCTCACGTTGCTTCTTTAGAAACAACACACGAAAAATACGTTGGATTTAATGGCATATTCAAAATTTATTCCTTCGAGGTTTCTACAGTTGCCACGGTTCTTCGTTATATGTTTACAACAGAATTCTATCAAACCATAACAAACTCGAAAGTGACTGATCTTTCACTACTAATTAGAGGATCTATCGAGATACCTGGAAATCTGGTGCGACATGGTTCTTGTCTGGATCAGGAATGACTACCAACTCGGCTTTACATTCTGCAGTTCCGAATTCGTTCTGAATTTTCACGCAGTAGACACCCGTGTCGTCCGGTTGCGCATCTCTGGAATTTCTCAAGTTTCATCTTTAGTTCGTTGATAGTATAGTAATAGAACATAATGCAAATGTACAATGTACTAAATTTTACTTTTAGTACGAGTAAGAAAGCAACACTTCTCAAAAGTTGGTTCTAAAAACGCATCCTACAAATATCCATCTAGTCGCACAGCCCAGTGTAATAAACACTCAGCTGCAGATCGCCGCTCGTTTTATTCTCACCATAATCTCACGGTTCTCCTGATGAGCTGTAGATGAAAAAAACAGTCCATGACGTTTTCATTTCATAGTAGACCACCCGGCTTTGTGTCTCGTGGAAATCCTAGCATTTGTTTGATGCATCTTGTTCCATGTAACCGCCATTTTACGGATGTAATCGAATTTTGGCTCCAGTTCAAAAATCTGTGAGTTGGTTCCTCGTACAACGAAAACGTTGGCCCATCTTTCTTGAAGTTTTCGTCTAAGTCGTTTTGATTTCCACAGGATCTAGTGTAATGTTTTTGTCGTCCAGTTGTTGTCCTCATTATATCACCAGCCTGTCGACGTTTATTTTCCCAGACGTATTATACAGTGTCGATGATGTGACATTTTTCAAGGATGCAAAAAATGAGAAAACCCGCTTGAACTCCCCGGCTTGTTTTCTTCAAAAAACGGATTTGTCGGTTATCCTGGATGGTACACAAGTCGAAATAAAATGTGAGCACCCAAGTAATGCTCAGCAACTTGGTCTACAGCCTGTTTTAGAGCCCGCAGTCGACCATTGTCACCTTCTATTTTGCTTTTTCACACTGCCCACGATTCATATTCACTGGACATTTGGCAACATTCTCACTCTACTGCGAAAAAGAAACCGACGGTTGGAGATCTAACCATCCACTGAGGGATACCATAAATCTCTGTAGTGCAACAACGAATAGCTTCATTGACATTGCATTTCTCTTCAGAAGCTTTACAATCTTGCTCGACAAACACATTCACAGGCTGACCTTGGATTAAACAGCAAGCTTTCCTATAACTAAATTTTAGCCAATACCGTTTATCAATCATCTAAGGGTTCTTCTATAATTTCACTAATATTGTCCCATATTTGTGGCGGAAAATAGTGAATGCTACCTTTTGCAATATTTCAAAGAAGTAAGAAAGAAAACCATAAGAACACACTTATGGACAGTACAGTATAGGTAAAATTTAATCTGACGGCGCATTTTCCAACATTCTCTAACTCATCACCTACCTAATTTCGAGTTTTGCGTTCATTCCGTCGTATTCAATCTTAAAGTCTTGGGATGGTCGAAGTGGTTGGTCATCTACAAGCCATACCAACTCTGGTTCTGGCCAACCTTCCACCTAAATTAGTCGCCTTCTTTCAAATCCTTCACTAAAAATTCAAATTTCCAGTCCTGGCATCTAGATGTAGATTTTCCATCACCCATCATTCACTTGCCCTGTTTTGCTTCCCGCTACACTCGTTCAGAGAAATAATCTTAGAAGAGTAGTTAAGCAATTTAAACATCTTAATATAGGTGATTGGAATTTAAAAAAATGCCTAGTTAATAGAATTTCCTCATATGTGGAAGATGAAGGTTATGAATCTAATGTGATAAATGACGTACGCTAATGGAACACTTCATAAAATGTCTTAAAAATAAGAAACAATGAAGTGTAGGAAGAAAAGGGTACTGTATAGCTCATGACTATTTATGAAAAATCAGGAACAGAAGGGATGGAGCTTTCAACTAACCGTCATCTTTCCATAATGCTTCACTAATGTATGCAGCCATATATATCGAAAAAATAAGGATTTCAAGAAGAAACAAGCTCGATTTCAAAAACGACTCACCTCACATTCGAAACTAATAACTTCTCCTTCTTTACACTCACGATCCTTTAACGCATTGATGAATTTCGGTGGTGCGGCTTCCTTCTCTACCTGAGAAAGACACTAATATTAAATTTGCTTTAGTGGAAAAATAGTCCAAAAAATGTTTTTGGATGTAAATTTCACTTCCTGTAATTCTACTGAAGGACATTCTCTAACCTTCAACACTCGGAAAAACGCAGACGTTGACGCTTGACCGTATTCGTTCGTCGCCATGCAAGTGTAACGTCCGGTGTCTTCTACCTATAATCGATCGATACGATGTATTCCACTTAAGATTTTCGATCGATACGGAACGTCATTATCGATTTATAAGAGCACCTGGACTGGATCGATTGTCAACGCGAAAAAACCATCTTCGTCAGAATAGAATGTGTGCCTCTGATCTTCATGTAGTTGTACATCGTCCTTGTACCTGCTCGTAGCAAGCCAATCATTGGATAAATCAATGTGTAAGTAAGGTGTCACAAGGTTAGAAATCAGTTAAATACACGTAGAAGGTAACGTATGCAACATGTAACATAAAACGAAAAAATTCCTTAAAAAATCGGCATTTCTACACAAACAAAACCCTGCCTCACTTGAGGCTTCGGAATAAAACCAGACGACGAGATGTGATTGAGTTGCGGCAGCTCACCATGTGATGTCTGGCAATGGATATCCTGTCACTTTCAAGCACATCTTTGCCGATGACTCCTGGAGAGTGCGGAATCCGTACTGAGTTCGTGTCACCCGTGTGCCTTGCATCTCAAGCGTGGTGCCGGTGGTCGCTGAAAAATGAAAAATTTCCAATTAGAACAATACCGAAGAAAAGCTAGAACATTTGAAATATCAGTGAGTGCTTTACATTCAAAGGATGATTGCTGTTGTTTTAACTTCTTATCACCCTCTTTGCATTACAAAATAAACAGCCGTAAGAAAGTGAATCGTATACGATTCCTTTCGTCTGATTTCCCTCCTCTACAAATGAGTCATGTATGATTCGTGTCACCAAGAATGTATTAAAGAAATAAACTTTAAGGAATCCGCACTAACGTGAGCTGTAAGAATTTTGTCTTAAAAAATCATGTTGGCAGGTCATATGGATAGAAAAGATGCACTTTTGCACATTTCGCCGGTTAGTACCGAAGGGACAAATCTTTAGTGCACTTAAAATGCATTTTTCAAGAATCCAACATTGCATGGCATTAAAAGCCCTACAGAACGATTGTGTTAAGTTGCTAAGTAATCGGAAAGAATAGTGTTGTTACATCCATAAGGACGGTCTACTTCTGGAATACGTTATTTAAAAGCTTTGCTTCGTCTTGTATGAATCTGGCAAAAAGACATGTTTTTTTCGTGTTTACCTTAATGAGTGAACTGAACAATTGCTAGAATTTGAAGAGAACTTTGAACGACGACCATATAAACCTGGATGAATCACAAAATTCTTGCTTTCTTGCTACGTTGAAATGATGCCGTTGTGCTTTCGGTGTTCTCACAAGAATAAAGGATGAACGTCAGGCGTTGGTCAATTTAAGGATGCAGAACACATCTAACTCCTTTCGTAGTATCATAGATGTGAGTGAATGCATATTTGGCCAAACTCTTTGCAAATCTTTCGGATCTCTGCCTTAGCAGAATGCCGACCTCTGAAAGAGTTCGCATCTAGTTTATCTGAGTAATTGAGCCAACGACAATACCGTATTATAGAGGACCTCTAACCACTTCGCAACAAAAGCCCTACACTTAGGTGCATACTAGACTGTGATTCGGCACATTGAAATACGATTGCCATCACTGTAACACAACGCCATCATACATCTTTACGGGTACTGAAACGATACCACACCCCTCTCGGAGGACGATGCAAGTTCTGGTACATCCGCCCGCTTTCCTCAAATATTATACGACTCAATTCTACATATTAATCTGTTAGCAGACTTTCTAGACAGAAAGCACATCTGCCCCCCTCTCCTCTCAACGTTCCTCTCAACGAAATTGGTGAGGAAGTTGATTAATAGTCACCGCTCAAACTCTTATTTTTCCCATCCTTTTTTAGCTTTTTTTCCTACCAAACATCGGATTCGTCATTGTCGTTCCAGTATGAAGCATGAAATCGAACTGTAATTTTCGAGTGAAGAAGTTTTCGTAATAGATGACAATGAAAGTGTTGCTCAGAGGTTCAACGTAGAAACGGATCAATTTCTGTTTACTTTCCCTCAAAGTAATAAAAACCAATGGACGCTGTAAAACTTAAAAGATGATATCATGAGGAGTCCCTCCAACACCAAGCACAACACTGCTCCTAAACCTAGATAGTTTCTGTACAATTTTCCATAGAAAATTCGCTGCATAGTAAGAAAAAGCCTCGTGGGTATCGTAGTCTTATTTGCTCAGCACTTCAAGGACATGCCACCTACTTTCTTCTTCATAAGCTTCGCCAGCTCTCGTTTCCATCACATTGGTTTTGCCGATAAGGTACAAACTTGGTTGACGCAACAATGGAATGCACAACATCTGTTTGTTGTTCGGCATTAAGTGCAGTATGTTTTTTTTTCAGATAAGCTGTTTTCTTTTCAGATCAGCTATTTATTTATCCCACGAAACCTTTGTCCACGTAAGACAACGATCTGCCATAAAACGAGGGCTCTTCTAACATTCCTCTGAAGATGAGTGATTTATCAAACCAACAGTGCCTTTAAAAGGCATTACAACAACTTCCTGCAGTCCTTTTTGAGCACTAAAAACGATTGCAATAAGATGACTGGATTTTTAAAGAAACTAAATTGTAATGGGATCACTTCCGATGAATAATAAAAAACTAAACGATGATTCTTATTCGAAAAAGGAGGATTTTAACATTATGAACAAGAAATGATGAATAAAAAATGAAAGATATGGGACGAATGAAAAATGAATACGAAAAGTAACAGTAACATACTCCAGTCAACACTACTGCTTCCACCGGAATATATACTGGTCGACGAGCCGGTTGGTGAAATCGCTGGTGGCGATTTCACTTTCTTTCGTGGTGGACCACCTTCTTCTGGACCTGTAATCCAAATTTTCTCCTCCAGTAGTAATCGATAACTATACAGTTGCCACAATGAACAATCAATGACAATCAATAACACACATTGTGACATTACCACAACTACGGACACCACAAAACAAACTGTTCTTAGCTATGAGAACCATTATATCAATCTTAAAATAAATCTCTTTCGTTAGGACAGATTTTTGAGGCAGACCCAACTTTCTATTATAGTATCACACATTTATAATACTCGATATTCTCTCCAAGACGACTCTATTTCTTTTGTAAACTGACCACTTAATTTAATAAAATTTGACTTCTATTCCCTAATTGCCGATTTTTTATTTTTTTTTTGTAAAATGATAGCATCGATCAATAACGACAAGGTGCAATGTGTTTTACTGCCGGACATCCCCCGCACAAGCAAACATCAAGTGCTACACATGCAAAACTCGACGGAAATCCTCCGATCGACGTGGTCAATAAATTGATCTGACCAGCACTTACCACTTTATAGCTTCCAAACGCTAGTAATAGTTAAGAACAGACAGAACAAACATTCAAACAAACTTTTGCTTCTTGACACGAAACGAACACCAAAATACACCAACACACAGAAAACTGTTCAGCTCTGTTTGGAAAGTCGATGTAGATAGAGTTATAGAGTTGATCAGTTTATGGAAACGAACACAATAGAAATCTATATTGACCACCACCGATGAAAATCCTTGATCCTGAATATTCGCTGAATTCAGAACGCATATCACTCAGATGAACATCGTATTCGGAAGTGGTCTCTGTTTCGTTTTCGCGTTCCGCAGCTGTGAAAATCAACAAAAATTAATCTATACTCACACCATGATGGATCAACAAGTTCCAGTCCTCCTTCTTCTGTGTCCGTTAATTCGATAATGTAAAGCGTTTTCACTACCATTATGACGTTTCAGGAAGTTGAATACAGTCGTCAAGCTTTTTTATTCAAAGAGATCAAAGTGGCAACAGTGGGGATCTGAAGTCTCAGGGATCTCCTTGATGATTCAGGGTAAGAGGGATGAAGCAAAAGCGGGTAAAAATAGCTATTCGTGTGCGAAATAGGTTCAGAATTGATCTATTCGGATGTGATGAGAGTTCCCAGATGGATGGAGATGGCGCGCGTGGGTGGCCAGTGCGGAGCAAAGTCAGTGCCAGTTCATAGCTTCACCTGGCTCAAGTGAATAGTTATGGGCGAAAGATAGCACACAGAATGGAAGGGATTTGCTGGCAGCTATCCGCCTAGCTGGAGAGTCGAGAACCTCCTTCGCGCCGGCGCGTATTACAACGAACCGAATGAGGAGGGTCGATGCTGGAGGAGGTAGGCAGGGCTCTCGGATTGCCGCTGCTGGCGGGCTGGGGCTACAGGTGACTCAATCGGCTAATATAATCTCGACGTCTTACAAGTTTTCGCTCCCCAGTACTAAAGTTTTGGCATGTCATCATAGATGCTCTCTTCAAAATGTCTTAGAACCTAGTCATAAGAAAAAAAAACAAGAGCAAAAACTCCATAGGAAGCACGCGTTCAAAAGGTCCTTTAATTCAAATTGAGCGTCTTTTTTGAACACCTTAAAATCACCCTAGCAAAACTTTTCTGTGTGTGCACTCTCAAGAATAAACATAATCTATTCTTTATAGACCGTAATTTTTGTAGCCGCACTAAGAAGCTTTGTATTTCTGTAAGGTTGATTGCCTTTCTCGACATTCTTTTCATGTTGTCAGCTTTGCTATCACTCAAAATCAACGGGACTAAGCTAAAATCCGAGCTTTTTTCTAATGCAAGGATGTATCGAATACAGAACTCTTTTCTTCACAGCGCTCGGAGCGCCTAGATGAGAACACCTACACAAGATTTTCACATCCTTGACATCATGATGCTGTAAATTTCCCAGTGCCACGAGCGCTGTACTTCAAAAAACGATTTCACATAGCTCAGCATCAAATTCCAAACCGGAAACATCTTTTTGAAGCTCCACATTGAAAGATGTCATGTTTCGGTTTTACTTAGCTCTGGACATTTCAAACGAAGACAGGATTTTTTTTCTCAAACAGTTTTCAGAACATCCCTCATTTCCTTCACTACAATAGAATATTTTTCAAACCTATTCCCAATTTAAAACGGTTTAAAAAATTTTTCACACTCTTTACCTCGTTCTTCCCCACTTTTTATAGGTTGTTCAATCAAAGCAAGAACAACAATACCGTATGCCTCCTTTTCCTCTGTGATATCCTTAAGCCACGCCTTCTTAACATATTCTGATGATGACGGATCCTTGGATGTAAGACTAAAAATATGTATTGCAGTAAAGATAGTTATGCGTTGAGTAAAAAACAAACTTTGAGCCGGAAGCTACCTGAAACTCGGTAAACCAGGTTCGCATGGTTTAAGAATGATGGTGTTCTCATGCAATGGATGGGTGCTTACCGTATACTTGTTCAGCTAAAATTTGCCACCATTGAAATCACATAAAATCCTTCAAAAAACCTTAAAAAACTGAGAAAATAAGCAAAAAACTATCAGAATGAATAACCACAACGTTGCTGAGATATTTGCAAAACTCTGGACCGCAGATGTCTATGGTGGGGAACGAACGCGCTAATATCAGAATAAATAATTTGGCGTTGATAAAATCCTGATGGGTGTGCCATGCATTCGACCACATTAAGCATCGTTAAGGGTGATTGAATGCATATTTGGCCTATACAGTGTGGTGGCCTACCGATGTATCCAGGTAATGCTGCTATCTTCCCAGACCGGTCTGGCAGCAATATTTTGACCAGCGGGAAGGAGCCCGGGGTACGGGAACGAATGAATAACTCCATGTATATTACAAGGCACCTCTAACCATTGCGCTACACATGCTCTAAATACTGGATATAAAAGCAAAACAAATCTGAAGGAAGTAGGAGAAATAAAATTGGTCCTAATTGCTTTCACATGCAAATCACAAGCTACAAGGGACAATTTTAGGGTTGTAGTAGGTTATAATTTTCATTAAGTGAAACTGCATAGACATTTGAAAAATATGAAGAGTGGCATCCCTTAAAAAAATGCCCTATATTATGCATACACTACTATACACACCTAATGAATCTTAAAAATCTAGGAATAAAAGCTTGGAATCCACTTTATCCAATTCTCTTAGAAACAGGATATATTGGAAACCACTTGACTTATACCACTCAGCTTAATTTTTACAACGATTAATTCTTATTCTTTTCAAAAAGTATTCCAAATAGAATAAATCCATGCTTTACCCTGATAGTTGCCAAGTGTGTGTAGGTGGTGGGCGTCGATGTGTCATTCTTCTGAGTGATCATCAACTTATTCTTAAAGAGGAACACGTAGCACTCCTTGCTTGCTTCTTCTCCTTCAGAAACCTCGAACGAATCCTAAACCGATCATTTAGCGCAAGTTTAATCAGCCCACTCAATAAATTTAAGAAACTAATTGAGTTCTTAACAATTAGGTGATTTATTTTAAACCACGTCTACACTTCCGAACATCTGATTTCTATAAGCCTCAGCATTCATCGAATAATTCATTGCTTTCTTGACGAGCAGACATGAGATTGTTAACAACAAAATCTTATTGATCAATTTTACACCTTTAGTAATTTCCAGAAATTGGTTTCACATCCACAGAAAAGAAAAAGCAAATTACCAAAATCGTCCCAGTACGACAAAAAATGAAGACCTATTGGACTAGACAGATAGACCCATGGAACTAGATAGATATATAGGTAGACCTACTAGAATTCATCTTTAGCGATACACTGGTTTTCCTGCACTCAATACGCTGTTCGGAATCGCCTGATGACGCGGAGCTCATTCGATAGTGGTTTTATTTTACTATTACTCCTTGCCTACTTTTATTATCCTGGGTTTACTACTCCACTTATAATTCTCCGATAACGTTTATTGTCCGCTACACGCAGAACATCATTGCGGAACGGCTACTAAACTGTTATAAATGTGTTGTCTTAAGCTAAGGACTACTCGATACAGCTAGCGTTCGTAAAATGAAATACTTATGTGTTTTTCTAGAATTCTGCTCTTTAAAGGACTTTAAGCATAACTTTCAGATATGGACTGCTTTAAAATGATAGTGAAGACATTTCCCTTCCTTACACACTCATCAATTCATTTCGTTAATATTTTAAGCACATGAGTTGCAGATCCATACCCGGTCTTTTACACTCTGGTAACAGATGTTTTCCAATGAGATTTTTAAACTTTCACAAGTACTGAAGGTACAACACGTACGTGTCTTATTAGGGGTCCAAGTTTGTTTGTATCGCCAGGATACTGCAGAATATTATTTGTGTAGACGAGATCACGGACGCGCTGCGGAATACCCAGTGTCAGTTCGAGCGCTTTCTGCATGCTTTTGCTGCTCTGATTCGCTCGTGATGAGTACTTGACGAATTCCTGGAAATATAAAGCCGGACGTACTTAGGGAGTACAAAAAATCCAGGAAACTACTATGTAATGGAGGGATGCAGAAACTCTGGGCATAGGAAAGTTGGACAAAATAAGAGATTTACTCATCCGACTCATATAAGACCTCTAAAGCGGTACACTAACGGCATATTAATGTCTTAAATTTAAGCCAAGTATAGATGACAACAAAGGAACTATCGTATTCCTTTTTTATATAACAAAGTGTTGAAGGGAGTTATAGAATCCGAAGATAAACTTATAGAGAATTGGTTCAAACTAGACCATAGGAAAGCAGTGTTTGATGTTTAAACTCCACATTTTCGTTCGTTCAGTTCTTTCAGTGGTAGCTCGAAAATTTGCTGAGAATATCGAAAAATCAAGATTACTCGGATTTTTAGAGATCGTTGAAAGAACATTCTTCTGCGATCCTAAGTGTAAGCTCACTGGATGTTTATTTACCAGTACACACCAGATTTTCTCTCTTACTCAACAAACATCAGTATGTCGATGAATATGAAGAAATCCTAGTATACCTTGAAAAAGTTCTGGTAGTGTGTGACCCTTTCAGCAACATTCTTCAGATGTTCAGCATAAGTATGCGCTCCTGCCTCGTATTTATCAGCGATCGACTGAAATTCCACAAAGATGAGGACAGAAAGAATTGCTGCCTAGAGAAGAAAAGATGAAAAATGTGCAGAAAGAATCTATTGACCAGTATATACCAGCAGATGGATGAGTTTTTTTTATTTGTTAGAGCCTTGAACAAAACTACAAACAGCTAATCGACTAATGGACTGATACAAAGAGGTTACTGACAAAACAGACCTTTGATTAAAAGCCAAAAACAAACAATTTCTGCAGACAATGATAAAATTACAAAAAATAAACAAGCAAATTAAAATAATAATATTATTAAAGAGCAGAACTATGTCACCTAAGAGCTACCAACAGGAAGTTTCGCAGCGGGCACGTGCAATCATAGCTAGAAAATAGAAGGAAGACACAAGAAAAAGTAACACAGAGGATAAGTCAGTCAAGAAAATGAGATATCAACACTAAGAAAGAGAAGGATAGAGACGGAGAGACAGTGAGCCACACACAGAAGGAAAGATAGTGGCAAAGAGAGGGCAAAAGAATAGGAGAAAGAAAGAAAAACATCGACAGATTGAGAAGAGGTGTAGAGAAAAAGAGAGGGAGAAAGAGAGAAGGATAAAAAGGGAAAGGAAGAAAGAGAGGTGATGGACGACGACGACGATTATGATGATGACGATAATAGCGATAGCGACGGTGGCAGTGATGATGGTGATAATGACATAATGATAATGAAAATAAGGTTAATGTTGGATACGACACCGATAACAGTAACAATGATAGCGACGACAGTAGTGAAGGTGATGGTGGTGGTGGCGAAGAAGGTAGGAAAATAAGTATAAAATGATGTGGTCACTTTCTATTAATTGCCTAATCTTTTTTCATGGCAAGGTAAGATGTGAAATATAACCACAATGATGCTAAGATATTTCCAAAGGTCCGGACCGCAGGTGTCTGCGGTGGGAATCGAACCCGCTACAACCCTTTCCGGAAAGTAACGTGTTCACCGCCACATGGAACAAATACGGATGACGGAAAGGCGAAAAGAAGCACCCGTATGCTATGGTGGTTAATACATTAGTTCCGGAAAGGGTAGTAATAAAAATGATAAAGCTCACGGCGTTGGTCAATCACTGAGGGATATGCCATGAATTCGACTTCATTAAGCATCGTTAGAGGTGTCAGGGTTTTACAATCACTCGCGGTGCTTTACCGATGTTAGAGACCATACCGGTGTTGCTAACGTCCCAGACATGTCTGGTACCAATCTGCCGATCCCGCACGGATGGCGGGCTTGATGGGCCAGCGTGGTGGGGATCGATCCCACGCGTGTGTAGCAAGGCACCTTCGACCACTGCACCACACCCGCCCTTTCGGAAAAGATAATAGCGGGCTCGATTCCCACCGCAGACACCCGTAGCCCAGAGCTCCGCAAGTATCTCAGCCTTATTGTGGCTATGAAATGATGATTGTAGAAGAACAGAGACGGACGGCGGTTTAGGTAAGTAATTTAGTGGCCATGAAATAAAGACATGGACATGAAATATTGAAACCACACTATCTCAAAAAATAACCAGCACTTTTTCTTCAAGGTCTTTTTACAAAAAACAGCCAAAATCATGTCCTATATTGCACGTATTATCGAGACTTTTCATCAATAAATGTGCTCACTGAAGAAGAAAATATCGTGAAAACGTTGGAATGATAACCAAATAAAATCAGAAGAAAAGAGATGACGGGAATAAAAAACAGCTCTGTTCGCAGCACTGTGAAGACGAAATTGTAGTGCTGATCTAGAAATCGATAGTAGCAACCAACCAAAGGAAAACGAGTCATGGGTCAGGGGTTAGCGTTTGTTCAAAAGTCTCTGGAGTCAAAACTAAAAAGCATATCACTAGTCTAATAATAAATAGGACTAATCAGTGGACACTAGACTGAGACTGGTGGAGTGAAACGTTCATGAAATAAAATCACTGAAAACGCTGAACACAAACTGATATGAGAAAAGCGGTAGCTTCTGGAAATCTAAAGACGAAAGTGGAACGTTTTCTACCATTAATTCGTAGGAACTAAGACATTTTGTGCAAAAGAATTGAAAAAAGAGAACATAATAAAAACTACTAAAAACAGGCTCTCATGTAAGAATATGAAAAAACTCGGTAACGGATTCAGCCGGAAAGCTTCCGAATAGCTCGCATGTATGACGTCGTCGGGCATCATGTTGACTGTTCACTGCAGAAAGCATTATTTGTTACACAATTTTCATTATCTCAACGAATTCTTTGCGACATTTAAGCTCTTGATGTAGGCCTTTCTTAAATCCACATTATATACCACAGCTATTTTGAATGTGAAAAGAAAAGGAAACAATTACAAATCAGAGCTCCCTCCACTCTTCGCCAAGTCCGCGGAGTTTTGTATGCAGCGAATTCCAGAAGGCTATTCAGGACGAGAAAGCAGCTGGACCTGCGGAATTCGCCAACCACAGGTGACTGGCTTACAGAAAACATCTAAGGTTATCAAGAGTCGGAGAGAAGCTCTACAATCACCGGCGAACATAAACACTGATTTAATCGTTATCGCATTTCTCCTATTCATCAGCTTTATCTAATAGTAGAATCAAAAGCATTTCATCAGATGTCCTATTTCACTCAAGACTTTAACCTTAGTTCAAGATATCTGTCATTTATGCTCCTAGAAGAAAAAGTATGACAGTTATAGAAAACTTTTCTGTCATATTAGAAAACCGAGTCGTTTGAGGGAAGAACTCATTTCAGTACGAAAAAAATGAACAACCACATTGAGAACTATGAACGGTTTGAATCACGACCTGTCAGTTTGATGTAGAATGAAACGACACGATGATATAGAGAAACGTGCTCCTTTCCGAAAATCGTTCGAAAAAAAAATAAAGAAAAAGAAACAGCTTCCAAGACCGATTTTCTGCGAACGTCGGTACTTCTTTCCCATGAGAACTTTAAGCTGGTGTGAACCATTTCTAACTAAATGGGCGAAATCGATAAAATGCAGTAGCTTTGAAGATGACGAAATCCTCAGAAACGCTAGCTATTGCAGGAAAAATTATGTTAACAATCTCGTACGAACCCCGTAAAAACAGAAATAAAAGTGGGTAGGTGTAAATGTGATTCTGAAATCCGCAGATACCATTTGTGTTTGGAGAAAAATATGTAAGAAATTCTTCGAAAAAACTTTAGAGAATCATAGGTAGTGCTTCGAGCAGTTAAAACATAACAATATGTCGCACATTAATAATTAATGCGTAACTTTTGATACACACGCTCAAATCTGTAAATACGAAGAGCTTTAACAGAAACGACAAGAACGGCAAACGTTTCATGGATCACTAAAAACTTTCAGAAAAGTTCCGCTTCGCATCTAATTTCCCACAGGGTCCTCAGTGTTTCATCATGGTTTCAAATGGCTAACAAAACTTGTAAATATGCAAATGCTTAAAATGGTCAAGTACTAGTAAAGACGAAGAACCAATTGCAACAAAGCTGTTCCATGGGGATAAATCGCAGAATCTAACACATTTAAAATGTCTAGTTTTCGACGTTCAGTTCAATAGTACCAAAAAGCGGAGATACCGTATTCTATTACCCGCCTGTCAGCAATTGTATTTGCGGTACATTCCGTAGGGAATCGCTACGAGACCCATGGAGACGAACGAACTCCTCCGAAAGACAATCTTGTGTATTTTTGTGGCAAAATAAAACCGTTGTGAACAAAATTCATTGAAACCAACGCTTTTGGTCATAAATACGTTAATCGATTATAGTTACATAATATAAGTTAATAAGTTAAACGCCTCCCTACAGTTTATCCTCATCACGGCTGGGAGGTGTTCCTGGCTGTCGGACTGTTGTGCACAGCCTGAGATTCATCCACCAGAAGGGTGTCCCAAGCTAAGAGCAGTCACGCGTTCCATCAGGAAGGTCAGCTAAGAGTAAGCAAATACCAGGATCCACCTCCGTCCTAGTATGAAACTAGTAGCATGGTGGCAAATTTCGCTCTGGTCCACAAGAGCCGCGACTGTCTGTGTTGGTGACGACCTGGAGTAGATTTTGGCCAGGCTGACCTTGAGACTCTAAGGAAACACAGTGGCTGCATCAGCGAAACTCCGAAAAATAGAGAATGTAGAGAACTGCCTGCACAACCAGTGAAGACGAGCCGTCCAAGCATCCAAGTAAGTGCAGATGAACGATTTGTCTTAACTCATTCTTAATATTTACGCAATGAAATGATGTCTATGAGAGTCACACGACGCGAAAATAATGATCGCTGTCAACTTTAACAAACCCGCGACGACGCCTTATCTCGGATTTGTTGTCGACTGGACGACGCCTAATTTTCAGCCAGTATAAACTTACTAGTTTTTGAAAATAAACAATAATTCCTCGATAACCAGAGCACTTCATGGGATGTGAACACAAGTGGATTGTAGTAAATTCATTGTTCTATCGCTCCATGGCTAAGTGGTGTTTATGATGCCATTCACTGTATGGTACTATGGTCCATCATACAAGCACAGTATTTGCATATACATAGTATCAACATATATACAGCATATGTATAGTATCGAAATGTGTAAATTTTCTGTATATTTCTAAGGGCAAGATATAGCTTTCTCCAAACAACGCCCGCCACACCATCTGTGTTCTACAAGCTATAAATTGACAAATAAAGTGCAGGACAATGGCTCCATACACTGAAATAAGTCATTGGAAAAAATAGGACCTAAAGGTGCCTCACCGACTACACCGGCAAAACCATTATGACACTTATAGGTGTCACCCGTCGCGAGAATGTTAAATTAGCATATCTCAACTATTAGTGAATTTTTACTAAATTTAATAAAGACTGCTACAGTTCAAAAATCTCCTACGCGATACAAGTCTTTTTATTCTGTCACGACGATTTCGGACCTTATGACAAAAAGTTCTTCGACACTTCCACTTCAAGGCCCACATTTTGAACTTGGAAGCAAAAGGATAAGTAAAATTTCGTCCAGAATGAGACCATGGTGTTATCGAATGTATTAACTTGCTCGCAGTTAATGCCCATTCGTT